GACCCTGAAGTACAGGGTAGAACTATTCCTGTGGGTTTCAGAGATTGCAACTCTTTCGGACAGTCTTTTTTTTAAATCATTTTATTGGGAGCTCATACCACTTTTATCACAATCCATACATACATCCATTGTGTCAAGCACATTTGTACATTTATTGCCCTCATCATTTTCAAAACACTTTCTTTCTACTTAAGCCCTTGATATCAGCTCCTCATTTCGCCCCCCCTCCTGCTCCACCCTCCTTCCACCACAAACCCTTGATAATTTATAAATTGTTATTATTTTTTCATGTGTTACACTGACCGATGTCTCCCTTCACCCACTTTCCTGTTGTTCATCCTCTAGGGAGGGGGTTATATGTAGATCATTGTAATCTGTTCCTCCTTTCTCCCCCCCACCTTCCCCTTACCGTCCTGGTATAGCGACTCTCATTTTTGGTACTGAGGGGTTTATCTGTCCTGGATTCCCTGTGTTTCCAGCTCTTATCTGTACCTGTGTACATGCTGTGGTCTAGCCAGATTTGTAAGGTAGATTTGGAATCATGATAGTGGGTGGGGCAGGGAAGCATTAAAGAACTAGAGGAAAGTTGAATGTTTCATCGGTGCTATGCTGCACCCTGACTGGCTTGTCTCTTCCTTGGGACCCTTCTGTAAGGGGATGTCCAATTGTCTACAAATGGGCTTTGGGTCTCCACTCTGCACTCCCCCTCATTCACATTGATATGATTTTTTGCTCTGGGTTTTTGATGCCTGACACCTGATCCCATGGACACCTTATGATCACACAGGCTGGTGTGCTTCTTCCATGTGGACTTTGATGCTTCTTAGCTAGATGGCCACTTGTTTATCTTCAAGCCTTTAAGGCCCCAGATGTTATATCTTTTGATAGCTGAGCACCACCAGCCTTCTTCACCACATTTGCTATGTACCCATTTTGTCTTCAGTGATTATGTTTGGAAGGTGAGCATCATGGAATGCCAGGTTAATAGAACAAAGTGTTCTTGCATTGAGGGAATACTTGAGTGGAGGCCCAATGTCCATCTGCTACCTTAATACCAAACCTATAAATATAAGCACATAGATCTATTTCCTGATCGTTATATAAAAATATATTTACATATGTACATGTCTGTATTTAGACCTCTGTAAATGCCCTTTGCCTCTTAGTTCTTTCCTCTATTTCCTTTGACTTTCCTCTTGTCCCACTATCATGTTCAGCCTTCATTCGGATTTCAGTAATTCCTCTCGGTTACATTGCCCTTGATCAAACAAACCCTACCAGGCATTCTACACCCTCCTCGCCACCAATTTTAGATCACTTGTTATTCCCTTGTCCCTGGGTTTAACACCCACTTCCTTACCCCGCCACCCTCTCCCATGTACCCATGGAACCGTTGGTCTGGTTGTTTTCTCCTCCAGATTGTTTATCCCGCCTATCTTATCTAGATAGACATGCAGAGACAATAATAAGCACAAAAACAAGGCAGAGCAATACAAAACAACAAAAGAAAACAAAACAAACAAACAACAACAACAAAAACCAATGACAAAAAAAAAGAAAAGAAAGTCTATAAACATTCCAGGTATGTTTGTTGACCTTTAAGGGTGTTTTTTGGTTGAGTCTGATGGGGTGCCATGCCCTGGCCCCAAATTCTATTTTTTGAATTTTGTTGCTTTGCTCTCCTTGCTGCTCTCTTGCACACCCTTAGTGTTTCACCCCAGTGTGGTATGGTCAGATCGGGCACAATTCCCACACTATGCCTCCAGTATTGTCGCTCGTAGGGATAGAAGTCAGTGAAGAAGAGTAGACAGTCTTATCATACTCCCACAGTTGATGGTTTCGAACTGCTAACTTTGTAGTTAGCAACCTAACGTGTAGTTCATTATGCTACCAGGGTTCCAAAACCAAACAGCACACCCCTGTGGGTTTCTCTCTTTATGGGAGTAGAAAGTCTCATGTTTTCCACAGGGAGTGGCTGGTGTTTCTTAACCGCTGACCTTAGGGTAAGCAGCCCCACACATAACCCACTACACCACCAGGGCTGAATCTAATGCCCATCAATTATAGACCACGTGCTACTTTTCACTCTGTCTCATATTCTTCTCAACTTAGTTCAGTGAGCTTGCTAGGGCTATGATGAGTGTTCCGAATCTACAGATGAAGAACAGATAGGCCAAGGGCTCTGACCAAGTCTAGCTCAGATTGTCAGTGGGGTCACCTATTCATATAGCCTGGGTTTCCCATCCTGCATGCCCAGGGTGTCACTAGATTTGTAAGCATGCTTTGTCTCTTCAGGAAATGAAATAAAGAATAGCATGTCAAGGCAGACTCAGTGGGCAGCATAGAGGGTAGGAAAGGACCCAGAAGACAGCAGGAAACTCACAGAGCAGAGAGAGAAAGACCTGTGAAAAGCTATCCAGTGGTCACTTACCTTTCTTAGTGTTATCACCCAGCTAGTTGGATTCTAGAGTCTGCCAGGACTTAGCACTAAATACTTCTTCTTTCTGCCTGTACCTTTCACGCTAACTGCCTCGATGGCTTACTTGGCAGGAGTCAGAGGAGGGCATACTTCTCCACTGGCACACAAATACAATAGGCAGAAACACTCAGCAAGAGTGCCAGTTGAGCACATATTGTTCCAAGGCCAAAAAGCACGTTAGTGCTAGGCCCTTAGAGCAAGACCACTGGGATATTAAGGGCAAAAACACCCCCCAAAAAACCCAACAACCTTAGCTTTTAAGAGGCGAGACTTCCCTACCAAATTAACAAGTTCACCCAGCAGCCCTGGGCTAAGGCACCAAGGGGTGTGATAGGAAAGGAAAGCCTGTGTAAATAAGTCTGTGCCCTGTGGGTGCTTTAATTAAACAGAGTAGGGAGGAAGGAGAAAAAGCTAAGTGTTACACACACCTCCTACTCCTCCCCACAGATATCTCAGTGGGTCAGCTGTTCTCCTACCTTGAAAAATCCCTATAAATTTTCATGCAAGACTATCAAGGGCCTCCAGCCCCTGCCAGTTATCACAGCTTTAAAGAGGGCATGTCAAATGGTTCAGCCAGCATTGGAAGTTGGCTTTTCAGCTCCACACAACAGCACAACCTAGAGCAAATCTGAAACTTTGGTGTTACAGAAGTGCTTCCCCACACCTAGCACGAAGAACCAAGCCAAATAAGCCCAAACCCACGGCCATCAAGTAGATTGCAACTCATAGTGACCATATAAGGCAGAGTAGACACGCTCCTAGGGTTTCCAAGGCTGTAAATCTTTATAGTAGTAGAAACCCTCATCTTTCTCTCTCAGAGCAGCTGGTGGGCTCAAACTACTGACCATGGGTAGGGTTAGCAGTCCAACTATGCCACCATGGCTCCTGCATAAAGTCTAGCTGGGGTCATGCTAGATTTGGGATTTTTGCTGGGCAGAGTTAGGAACCTGGGATGCTCTGTGGATATGATTCCAACCTCCCCGTGCAGCACCCAAGAGGGGGGAAGTGACTAAGGAAATGCTCAGATAGGTGACACTTGGCTGAAGGTTTGTGGGAAGGTGGTCAGATAAACACCAGCCCAAAGCCAATTGCACACCATGGTCTTTGTCACTGTTCTTCAAGGTCAAGTTACTCTTCTGTCCCATACTCTCCCTTCCCCCAGCACACACACATAATCACATAAAGACATCTCACACAACTGTAGGACCCAACTCCTTCAGTCTAGGGAACACAGAGACCTGGGGCGTGGGGGTGGCAGGTTTGTTGCTTGGGCTTAGAGTCTGATGATTAGTTGGGGTTACATAATCACACGAACAAGGTTTGCTGACTATCCGTGATTGGTGCTGTGCACGGCTCACTCCCTATCCCTGCCCGATCCCACCAACACCCAGAACACAAGCCAATTTTAGCAAAACTGAAGCAGAGGATGAGGCTAGCGGCTCACCCTGCGGTTTCAGCTACAAATGCCAAGGACTTTCAGAAAATCCATAGTGCACCACAGGAAGAGGACCAAGGTGTCGCCAGCTGCCAACAGACCCTTCTGCCTGCAACCACTATTCAGAAGTTCAAGCCAGGGCCCAGCCACAGAAGGAGTGCGTCTACATTCTCCACCAAACCAGCAGCATTTAAGGAAAGGAACCTCGTGCTCAGGGCTCCTCTCCATCAGCCCTCCTGCCCAAGTCTGCCTGTGCTCAGGTGTCTGTACACCCAGGAACGCTCAATTTCTTCCGAGGCCCTTCAACACCAACCAACAGCGCTTTTAATTTTTTTAAATTGTTTATGGTAAACCATTGGGGCATAACTTGGTGGTGGGAAGAATTCCCCAATAAAATGGGAGTTGGATTGGGGGGCGGAGGGCAGGGAATGAGGGGACGATTTTGCCTTAAGAACATTTGTAGGGGGTTAAGATTAAAGGGGTGGAGTGGGGAAGATCTCCCTCCTCTCTTGGCACCCAGCATCACACGAATGTCATTCTCGACCAACCAGGCAACAGACACACCAGTCCAGTCCGCCGGAACAATTCCCAAGCAGTCGCCAGGGAAGCTGAAGAAAATGCAGGTGTTGCGAGGAGGCAATCCGTTTGTCCAACAGCTGAGGCTCATTAGGGAGCCCGGGTGACAGTGCGCCCCTGATGCCAAGCGAGAGGGAGGGAGCCAGCGAGCGAGCAAGCAAGCGGCGCGCACAGGGTTACAGCCCCGCCGCCGCCGCCGCCGCTGCCTCCGGTGATTGACGCGCCGAGGTTACTTGAGGCTCCCGCCGCTCCCCCATCCCCAGGCCGAGCGCGGAGCTCAGCCCACCGAGGGGACCAGAAACCACAGGGCTGCCCAGGCAGGCCCACCACACCGGTCCGAGCCTCTGCAACCCGACACCTGGCCTCCGACAGGCACCAACAAAATGGAATCGCAGCTCGCTCACAGTTCCCTCTCCCCCGTGGCGGCAGCAGGCAAAAACAACAACAGCAACAGTAAATGAAATAAAGCGAAAGGAATCCATCCGCCAAATAAAAATTCAGAGTCCCTACCTTCTGCCTTGGGATGGCAAAGGGGTCCTGTGGTCTCTGACCCACGGATCCAGCCCTTTCTTCATGAATTATTCCGGCCCGGCAGGATTTTGTGCATTTTTTTTCATGAACACCTGTTTCAAGTAAGGGGTAAAGACCTTATTGAAATAATTGTCCTTAAAAAATGACCTGTGCGTGCAGATGTCCATCCAGGTAGGCATGCGTGTTTGTATACACACATATGCACACTGAATATACATGTACATTGAAGCACCAAAACTAGGCAGTTGGATAATAGGAGAGTCGGCGGGTTGTGAGCATGCTCGTTCGCGCCGGGAACAGATCCACCCTCTGTTAGTCCTCTGAATAAATATAAATCACGATCAGAAACCCAAACAGAAGCATCCCTCTTGAATTCCTGCTGCTGAAAAACACGGAATAAATTCAGCCTGCAGACACAGAATCTAATCAGCAGCTGTTTTCAGAATCCAGAGCCAACCCATGCCTCTCTTGTCTTTCCCACTATGAGTCCAGGCCTTTTTTTTTTAAAGGGGTTTTAACCTTTTAAAGATACAGTACACCAATTATCACTTCTGAAGAGCTGTCACTCCCTGCCCAGGATAACAGTCCCTGCTGAAGGCTTGTGTGCAGTGATAATGATTTCATTTATTGATGCCTTAAATTGTTTATATGTGCATATAGAGAGAGAAAGACGGGGAAGGAGGGTGGGGAATGCTGGAGGATACAAGGTGTAAAACCTGGCATACATATTTATTGCCCTGTTGATGAGCGACTCAGTACTAATCAGCATGTTATGTAAACACCAGGATCCTTCACTTCTAAAGCCACATTTTCCTGGGGTCATAGGATGCAGGGGCTCTTGTCCGCACAGGATGTCACCCCTCCCCAGTCACTAACTGCTAACGAAGGAAGCCCACAGAAGTGACAGAAGGAAGTGGAGACCTCTGCCACCCCAGGGTTAACCAAAGCCCCTCTCTTGCACTGTCATGATCTCCTGACTCAGCAACTATGTCTCAAACCTAATGTTCTAATGTTCTATCACATCATTGAAATTATCGTGTAATCTAGGACCAGAGGCTGTTCTTCTCCAATCAGATGCTGTTTCTCTCTGACCATATTGCACTACCTGAACTTTAGTTTTTTTAGATACACACCTCTCCTTCAAGATATTTTTAAAGAGGTTTTGTTTTGGTTTTGGTTTTGGCTTGGTAACTTTTTTTAAAGGGCTAATTTGATCACGGAGGTAGAAGAATTATAATGAAGGGGAAACAACCCTCAGTCCAGACACACACACACGCACACAAATTAATATGCCCCAAAGTCCAACTGCTTTAGCCACCTACGTGGTGTTTATCTCAGGACTGTTTTGACTTTCAAAGAGGTAGCACTGAGAAGAAACAAAAACTCCTAACTTTACTTAGATTTGAAAGGAAAGAAAATGCCTTCTATGGTTTCTTTCTCTCCCCAGGAGCAGAGAGCTTTCGAATGGAGCGCCCTACTTGTTTTCTGGTTTCCAGCAGGCACCAGCAGCAGCAGCTTACCTGAGGAGCCACGCTGGGATGCCCACAGCCACTCCCAGGGGGAAGTACCGCTAGCTCTACTGTCATTCCATCTGCCCCTCCAGCCTAGTTCTGCAAACCACTAAAGACAAGGGATGCACTGTCACCTTCCCATATCATTGCACACACACACACACACACACACACCATTCTCCTTTCCCTTCCCCCTTCCAGGACTCTTTAGCAGAAAATTATCATATTTCATGTGTCATCGCCATAGCTGACTGGGCCTGTCACTGATTGGCTGGGCACTGGCAACCGGAAATGTCACCAACCACACAGCTTTGGAGCTGGCTCCCCTGCTGCCACCACAGACCTGAGCCCAGAAGGCTCTGTGGCAAGGTGTAGACCTCCCACGGGGAAGCTGTCACTTCTCTCTCCTGTCCACCCCCCATGCCTTCTCCCGGCTTCTCATCAGAACCCTGCCTGAGGAGGGCAGGCGGGCTGTGAGGGCTGTGAAGGGAGTCTAGCAAGGCTGTGTCAAAGCCATCTCTAGCTGCGTTAATTGAAGGAACCATGGAATTCCTGTACTTTCACCATGTTCAAGCTGTTGCCACCTGATTTAAAAGATTAAGAAAGTGTTTCTGAAAAAAAATCTGAAATAAATAAAAGAAATATGTAGCTACTGCCATTGAGTGACTCCATATTGAGTTTCTGAGACTGTAATCTTTTGGGAGCAATCAGTCTCACTTTTCTCCAGAGTAGCAGCTGATGTGTTGGAACCATTGACCTTGCAGTTAGCAGCCCAATGTCTAACCCAGAGCATCACCAGGGCCCCTTAAATATAAATATTCAAATATACATTTAAAATATTTATTTTATACTAAAAAGCAACTGTACAGACAAGAGTGTATATCTGTATGTAAATGTGCATATATATGAGAGTATGTATATGAGTGTGTATATCTGTACTTACATATATATATATATATGATACCTTTGAATTATAGTGTTGGTGGAGAATATTGAATATATCATGGACCACCAGAAGAATGAACAAATCTGTCTTGGAAAAAAGTATACCCAGAATGCTCCTTTGCTTCGTCTCACTTGCTGTGGACCTGTTATCAGAAGGGGCCTGTCCCTAGAGAAGGACATCAGACTTGGTAAAGTGGTGGGTCAGCAAATAAGAGGAAGCCCTCAATGAGATCATTTGGCCCAGCGACCACAAGGAGCTCAATCATAACAATTGTGAGGGTGGCATATGACCAGGCAGTCGTTTGTTCTGTTGTCCCCAGGGTCAACATGAGTCAGAGCAGAGTCATCAGGCACCACCTAACAGCATATAAAAATTTAAACTACATGTATACACATATCTACACACACTGCATATATAGATTAAATGAATACGTGTATAGATACAAGGTTATTTCCCTGTGCAAGTTATCTGCAGCTGCTGTTTCTTCCCCATCTCACATCAAAGGCATGTAGGCTAACTATAATATCAGTTAACTGGCAAGGAAGTCTCCCAGGGCCGCAGTCCCTCTTCTTACCTTGAAGCAGAAGAGCTCTGAGCCCTCCAAAAAACTCCCTGGAGAAGGAGACATCTGCCCCGGCTTTTCAATGCATTCTGATGTCAGACATCTTTTTGAGGAGTTGTATGGTTGTTGTAGTGACCAACCTGAATCACTTTAGCTGTAATTTAAACTTATTCCCTCCCATATCGTATCTTTAGGAGTTTTGACATGATGGACTGTTTAAGTTTAAAATTCTAAGTCTCAGCTCGTTCTGTTCTGCAGATTAATTAAACCTGTCTCCCTGGGGGTTTTGTTGTTGTTTTGTAAAAGCTGTTCTCAAACCTTTCATTTTACTGCTTTATTGTTTAAGCTACAAAAGAAAGTATAGAATCTCAGGGTTTGATGAGGCTGTAAGGTCATTTGGCCTAACCATCCACTCCACTCTTCAATCTACTCTATGTCCACCCTGGGGCTTTTGGTTTCAGGAACTGTAAATGTGGCTCATCCATTTACCCACTTCACTTTCCCCCCAAAAGCCTTCTACATGACATCAGTGGCACTGTTGCAAACGAGCAAAAGAGGCCATACATAAAGCAGACCTTTTGAAGGACATGGGGAAGATACTAAGTGGACGGGATATGAGTAAAGAAGGGTTGATTAGTGCTTCTATGCTTGTGTTTCTGCACTAACTCCCTAAGAAGTGAGTGTGTAGGCTTCCAAAACAGAATTCTGGAAAATCAAAATTTAGAGACAAGTGAAAGGACTTCAGGAATGATGACAATTCTCGCCACACAGAAGAGCTGCACCCAGCTTTTATTCCACAGCTTCTTTGGATAGAGTAGGATGTTTGTTCCTAAGTTAGTCAGAAGCCAGAGAGGTGGAATAAAGGCAGGATCCTCATTTACTTTAGGATGTTACATGCACACACATAGACACAAGAGAGATGAGGATAAGGAGACTTAAATAACCAAATAAAACAAACTGTAACATAGAGAGCCAGAATATTAGTAATGGTAGTGTAATAGCCATTCCAAAAGGAATTCACCAAATTCATCAAGAAAGGAAACAATAGCCAAAGAAATAATAGAAGAACATTTACCTGAGCTCAAGAAAACTTTAGGTCTTGGCTCCTAAGGGCTATGAGTCTTAGCATGATTATGGAAAGAATTCAGTTTTAAGTGTATTCTGATAATCTGAGACCCAATTAAAAGTTCCCTGATAAGAAAGAAAAATTACAGTTTTAGAAGGAAAGAAAAACAGACGGATATCTCACTTAGCCACCGTAACACTGTGCTTTCTTAGAAAAGCAATTTTTATAGAATCTTAATGAAAATTACTGCAATCTAAGAATTTTACCAGTGACCAAATTATAATTTCTCTCATATGTGATGACAAAAGGAAGGCAGGTTCTGAATCACAACAAATCATATCACTCAAATAGTCTTTATTAATATTTTAAGTGACTACTTGAGGATCTAGCCAAGTGAAAATATAAACCAAAATAATGAACTCAAGAAAGGAGACAATATGCTATATAAGAGAACGTAGTGAAGATTAAACTCATTCAGATATATGATGGAATATCAGAATAATTTCTATGTGGTAGTAGAGTTTAACTGTTAAAACTGTGAGGGGCTTCAAAAAGTTTGTGGAAAACTATATTATCTTTTAATTCCATTTTTCCATGAACTTAATGAAGCTCCTTGTACATTTAAAAAAATAAGAGGCCTGTTAAAGAGAATACGCTAATATAGTCATGCACCATACAATATCCCTTTAGGAAACATCGGTCTGTATATATATTTGTTGTCTCATAGGTTATAATAGGTTTCAGAAACCCCAATTGGAAATGGGACATATCAAACATAACAGCTACTCAAACACATATATTCCCTGTCTCTTATACACAAAGCAGGTGCACTGCCAGGCATATAATGGTACAGTATATGTATAACCTATAATACATATGTCTTGATGTTCATAATAAATGACTATGCTACTGGCTTACATATGTACTGTACTGTACTTTCTATCTAAAAGTCTATAACAGCATATGCTTCAATTCATAGACATCAGCATTTAGTCTCTTGAGTTTTATAGCATTCCTTCTCTTTGTCTTTCAGAAATGACTGTGAAGTACATCATGGCCCCTTAACTCAGCAGTGCCAGTACTAGTGATAGTAACATCACATGGCATAAAAGAAAGTTGTGTATATTTGGAAGTGAAGCAAAAGGTTATTGAACAGCTCAATCAAAGCCACTGACTCACAGTGAGCCCATCTATGAGTCTTACACAACAAGAAGGTGTAAAATAAGTGAATGCTATTTGTGGTAGTTACATAATCTGGTGTCAATTTGGGACTTGAGAGGATTAAGAGTGAAAGGGTAGAATCTGTCAATC